TGGTTGAACTGCCCCAGCTGACATCATGTGGAGGAAAGATAACTCACTATGCCTGCCTAATTTGTAGCTACATATATAAAACAAATGATTGTTTTAAGTTAAAGTTCATGTTGGTTTATGAAGTAGCAATAAATATTGAGAACATCCTGCATGTTTTAAATCTACCATTATTTTAGCTAGATGTAGAATTCTAGGTTTATGATTATTGCCACCATGAACTTTGGTGTTTCTTATACATTTCTTATAAAGTAAAACACTCACTTACATTATGACCCAAAAAGTCCACTATAGGAATTTAACTAAGTGAGATGAAGACTTAGGTTTACACAAAAACATTCCTCTGAATGTTTGTAGTAGCTTTATCAATAATTGACTCAAATTGGAAATACCCCAAAAGTCTTTCAGCTGGTGAACAGAATAACAAACTCAGGTACAATCACACAGTAAATACTAAGGAATAAAAAGGAACTAACTAGTACATGCAACAGCATGAATGAATCACAAATGCATTATGCTAAATGAAAAGAAGCCAGAATCAAAGGTTATATACCGTAAGATTCCATCCATATAATATTAGAAAACTCAAAACTCTGGGGACAGAAAACATGTCACTAATTAATAAGGGCTGAAGTTGGAGGGAAGAATTGAACACAAAGAAGCAGGAATGCATTTGGGGGTGATGGAACCATTTCATATTTTGATCATGGTGGTAGATTAAAAGCCACTTGTTTGTCAAAATTCACTGACTGTATAATAAATGTGAATTTAATACATTCATTTCCAAAATGAAGCACAAAAGATGTTACCTCTGGATAGAAAATAGAAGGTTGAAAAGAAGGTTGAAAGGAAGACATCTTTTCCTGATAAATTTGTTACCATACTCAACAAGGGGGCAAATATCTCCTCGAAGTGAGGCACATTTCAAAGACACTGGCATGTAAACAGGACTGTTAAACCTCTGACATTGAGGCAGATTTTCTGTTCTCTCTTTTCCTGAGAATCATGACCTCCCATTTCCATTTTCCAATTAAACACCTGTCTCATATTATCTTTTGCAGAACACTTTCTCTATTTATTGTGGTTCCTCTGCAGCCCTGTAATTTCAGATGGTATGTAGCACAGTTTTTCCAAGAAAACAATTCGATGCTTTGTCATGTCTGGATTTTCATAATACAGGTTTCTTTAAAATTTTAATTAGTCAATGATGAGGCAATGAATTAACCTTTTTGTCACCTCTGATCTGAAATCAGCTGGGCCTAAAGGAAGAAATCATGTGGTTAAAATATGGTCCTCTAGGTTTTTCCCTTCCACAGGGATTATTATTGTGAGATATTTCCTAGAAAAGGAGGAAAGAACTGAAAAGGTTTATTATATGTCACCAAATTGAATTTTTTAAAAGTTATAGTTTTGTGGACCTATGGACAGTATAATCCAGAGATATGAGATAATTATCCAAAGTTAAAGAGTGAAAATCTATAAGATGTGTTTCACCAATATCAACTGACCTAGTCTACTTAAAGCTTAAGGCTTTCATAAAAGGATTAGAGAGAGAAAGCCAGGACAGGTTCAAGCAAAATAAGTGTCCATGAATAGGGGAGGGCCTAGAGAAACAATGAGACATACGATTACTTGAAAAATAGACTACTTTCAAAATTATAGTGGTAAAATTTGACTCAGCTGCACTATCATCTTCCTGTTGAAGGAAGGACTATAACTAATGAGAGTGGGAGACCAGGCTGAGTCAGTATATGACTTAGAAAAAAGAAGTTCAAAGAACAAATATTTGGTTGTGTTTTTCTTACTGAATTGAAAAGAGAAAAAAGAGATGAGTTGGATTCATATTAAAATCCCAGGTAGACTGCGGTAAAGATAGGGAGAAAGTGCTCAGCCTCACTATAGCCCAGAATAAATATTTGTTAAAATAGTCCAGCTGTTTTTGCCTGCATGAAAACAATTTTGTAGTACAACTTGGTCTCCTAGATATTCCAATGCTGGAAAGAAGTTGGGCTGCAGAACAGATATGCACATAGCAATCACTGGGATATGCAATTCCTTGCTATAATCAGGTATTTGGCTTTCATATCACTCTTAGTCCTCTGAGTAGGAGTAATTCCAAGAACTCAGAGGAAAAAAATAAACAGTTGGCATGTGCAAAACTGAGGACATGATTCTGGATATAAAAGCCATATGATATCCCCTGATAAGATTTTCTCTCTTATTGTTGAAACTACAATTAATAATGGATCTTTGAGCACTGAATACCAGAAAAAAATAGGCAAAATTTAACCATGTATGAAATAAGTGACATTGCAAGGCACTTCGTATTTCATATACAATCTCCAGAGTGATATATCAGTAAAATTTACCTAGTGAAGTAAAATGGAACTTGAACTGGGAGATTAAGGCAAGTGAGCAATTTCAGTAGCCAGTCACAGGGTAAGTGACCCTAAAAAGATAGTGGGTATGGAAAGGAAAGGTCATAAAAGAAAGAAAACAAAGAATATACAGGAGTCTTTTCACATAGACAAAAAATATATAGTATGTAAATTAGGGATACAAACGGAAAAGATAACACCATAGACACTTAAAAATTTCAGAAAAAAATTTTAAGAGAATATCAATGCCATATGACAGGGAAAGATATCTTAAACAGGTCTGCAAATGTATTAACTATAAAGGAAAATACTGATAAATGCAACTGTAGTAAAAATAAGTTCTTCTCATCAATACACAGGATTGTATATTGATTTTTATACCAGGAAAGGTGTAAAAAGGCAAGTCACGGAGATGATAAAAATATACAAGCAAAAGACTTGTACCAAGTGTTTATGAAGAACTCTTAAAAATCAATAAGAAAAAATTAATAACAACAGAAAAACTGACAAAAGATTTGAAGATTAAATATATACTTCACAAGAGAGGAAATGTAACTGACAAATAAACATATAAAAAACATACTAAGCTTCATTACTATCAGGAAAATGCCAGTTTAAACCACAGTGAAGTGTAACCAAGCACACCCCTAGACTGACAAAAATTTAAAAATCTGACAATACCAAGTATTGATGCAGAGTTAGAGCTTTTAATATCCACAATGATGGTGGAAATGTAAATTGGTTTAAACAGCCTGAAATATCTAGTGAAGCTGAAGACAGGCATACCATATGATCCAATAATTCCATGAATCAGGAAGCATGTGGAAGTGTAATCATAGAAGGATTGTTCACTGTAACCATAACTGCAAACAAGATTAATGGCCATTAACTGCAGAATGATAAACTGTGGCATAGTCATATAATGGGAAAACTATACAGCAATGAATATGAACAAAAAAGAATTATAAATATCAACATGGGTGAATCACAAAATCATAATTTTGAACTTAAGATGCAAGACATACATAATTACATTATTTTTCATTCTATTTGTATAAAATTCTCAAAACATCAAAAATCATAAGGGATAAAACTCTAAAGAAAAGCAAGCGTTACCAAAGGTCAAGTCTTCTGGTTGAAAAGTGGAGGATAACTTGAAAGGGATTCACAGGAGGTTAATAGATTGTGTTCAGTGTTAGAACCGGAGATGATTACATGGGTGCTTGCTTCCTAATCATGTCTTATTCTGTACTTTGTGTTTTATGTGCTTTGCTGCATTTATGTATATTTCATAATTAAAGATACTCCCTCCTCCCATTTCCCACAAAGAGAATATTACAGAGTTGGCAGTTAATACAATGTGGGGTAAGAAATTGAAAATGGAAGAATCAAGTTTAGAACCTGTGAGAATGGGAAAATGGTGGTGGCATTAGTTGAAAAATGAACATGAAGAGTAACTGGATTGGGGAAGAAGATAGATTTCAAAGTAACAAGCTTAAGGCAATGTCCTTTATTTGGCCAAATACTTGATACAGAAATATTAAAGGAGAAACAAAGACAGATAAGAAGTTACAGCAGAAAGTAACACATGTTAATTTTTTCTATAATATTGCTGTATTATGTTTAACTTAATTCTGCAGAGATGCTTTCCTAAAATAAGTTACATGAAATAAAGTAGATAAGTGACACTTTGCATGATGATTGTTAAAATTAACTTAACTACGCAATAATGGGAGTAATGGATTAAAGCTTACTGGAATCTTCAAGTTCTTTTACTTAGATGAAATACCCAAAAGTTAATGCTATGTTCCCGTTATACAATCAGTGATATTTCAATTTGCTCCTATCAGTGGTAACCAGAATCACCAGTCCTTGAGAGACATTTATAGTTTTTCATTTAGCCTCAACATTTCAAAAACTAGCTTCAAAAAAAATCATTATAGTCCAACATGTTGTTCTACAAATTACTTGTATTAAAAAAGAAATAAATGATGTTATCATTTTAATAATGGAATACATAGAAGCTGCAAGAGTCCCAAAGATGCATTTTTTTTAGTAATACAATTGTGATAAAATTACATTTGAACAACAATATAAACTTCTTGGATATGTATCTCTCAAATGAGAATTTACCTACAGTTAAGTCAGAAGAGCCTGGCAGGATACATAAATATGCACAAGAAGTTGCATGTGTTATAATTCACTGGGAGTTTTCTTTCCTTTATCATGTATTTTTCTTTTAGCAACACTTAATGGAAAAAAACAAATCCCCAACACACAATTTTCCAAACTATAAGAGTAGCCAAACTAACAAAATACAAGTCCTTAAAAAGAAAAAAGTAAATTACAATCCAACTTCAATTTGAAGTTCAAAAAGAGTGTGATGTGATTGTGCTGGTCAACAACGCCTGTGACTCATAGCAGCTACAGATAAGAATAAATGTGAGGCATTTATTCTTATTTCCATCAGCTTACTTTCCCACTGACATCCTTAAGTATGCTCTCTCCTTCTCCTTGATTTTTTTTATGTGCACAAAAGTGCTTTAACAGACAGATAAGTATGAAAAGAAAATCAGTATTAGTCGTAAATCAACCAATTCATTCCAACAAATACTGATTACCTACTCTGCACCAGGCACTATTTCAGAGTCTGGGGATGGATCCACAGGTGACTAATGCATGGTGTCTATCCTCAAGGAGCTCACAGTGCAGAGAGAAACCAACAAACAGGCACTATAATTTATGGCTGATGAGACTAACAAGAGAGGTGTGTAGAGGAGACATCAGACAGAAAAAGGAACAGAGAAAAGCAAACTCCAAGCCAGTGTGTGGTGCTTATCAGACAATTAGATGGTCAAAGCTAGAGCTTTCCAGACTCTATTCCCTGGGCAGGGGCTGATGGGAAATTGGGGCAGAGCTGGGGCTTTGACCACTAAACCACTAGGGCTTTGGCAGTTAAACTGCTGCAGGGTTGGCAGTTAAAATGACATTTGGGCAGTTGAAAGGTTGGAACTTCAGCAGCTAAACCACTTGTAAGGAGGGGTGTCTGTGGAGAAGTTGCCAGTTTCCAGGTGTGGTTTCAACTTGGACCTTAGTCTCTGCTCAGCAGACACTATCTGGAGTAGGATGGACTGCATCTGGTCACATACTGGCAGTTTGCTTGTTCTCTCTCTCTCTTCTCCTCCCTTCCTCCCTCTCCCTGCTCCCCTCTTTCCTTACTCCCTGTATAAATCCTGTTGTTGTTTTTTTTTTCTCCCCATGTGGCTGCTTTAGAGTCATGCCCTGAAGCTATAAGTATGTGGGTGAGGAACCACCAAATAGGTCACCCTAAATCTCTTGGGTTTGCCCCATTTCATGACCATACAGAAATCACTCTGAAATGGCCTCCATGGGCAATGAGGGTGAGATAAGTGGCTTGAGAAATATATTCAGAGAAAGTAATACAGAAGTTGAAATCTGAAATTCCTGGCATTCCAGGTAGGGGAGCAGCATGGGCAATGACAAAAGAGAGTCTAAGACAAGAGTCTGGAGCAGCTGCAGCACACTATGCAGATGGCTGTCTTATTAAGGTCAGAAAGAGACAGAAAGCCAGAGGCAGGCAGCAGCCAGGCCAGGACCACAACTCAGACCAACTGAAGACAATGTGAAACCATCGTCCAAAGAGATCCCTACAACCTACAAGGTAAAGGCTGGATTGCAGGGTAGATCGGGGCAAAGTGGGTCCTGGAGATCAATTCAGCATCTTTATAAGAATCTAAGTAGAATAATATACTGAACCGCCCCCAAACAAAGGTCATGTCAGTGGAGAAAGAGAATTTCAGGAGTCATTGGGATTTCAAGGACATAATGGAAGAATCACATAGAAAGTACCCACATGGCACAGCGGACCTTTCCTGTCTCGCCCACTGCTCCCCTCAGCAGTGCATTTCAGTAGGCCTATTCTGTTTTCACTCTGTCTCTGGTAAATCCTCTCACTCCCGACACCTCTGGCCTATCCCCCAGTTCTTGTGTGTATAAATAAATAAATCTTTAAAAAAAAATTTTAAAAAGTATCCTAAGTATTTCTGTCTCTTCATTAATGAGACTGACTGAGAAACGGCCTTTATCACTAACACCCAATCGAAATCTGTTAAGAGAAGGAGAAAGTCAACACAAACAATACACAGTATTTCAAATGTGAATAACCAGTTAACACTTTCCTCTCTGGACTCAGGCAAGGGGGCACTAAACAGAATGCCACAGTTTCAATGTCACAGGAAAAGGCCCACCTCTCCACAGACTACAGGTCACAATCACAAATAACTTCTAAATACTACTTCTTGCTGCCTTTTGCTGTAGCATTATATCCTTTTCTCCCCTTATGAGAAGGAGGTAGTGAGGGAAGAAAGCAAGGAAGGAAGGAAGGAAGACTCGAAGGATATCAGGCACAAGACAAGCTTCATTTATTCATTTAACTAATAAAATTTCTTAAGTATCAATGTGTAGAACACTGTATTACATGCAGGAGATGCAGAAGTGAACAAATTTCAGTACCTGCCTCAAAAAATTTCAACCTATCTTGATTTAAGTAGGGTATGGAACAGAAATAAAAGCAGAATTATTCATAATTTTAACTAATGTATAAATTCACATGAGTTATCCCCTTTATTAAAGAAAGCTTAAAGAACTTGCTAGAAGTCTTCTCAAATGGGAATGAAGTTAGAGTGAGTTTCCATGCATGCAGGTGTGTGTGGAAATGCAAAAGAATTCACAAGTGGATGCTCCTTCACAGATGACATCAGACCCATCCATAAATTTCCACAGACTTGAGAAAAGCAACAAAAGTCAGAGAGATGGTGCTTGCTAGTTTCTTGGAGACTTACATCATTAATTTATTTCTCTACTTTCAAATAAACTCAAGGATCTTCAAGTTTGTCAAAAATACCCACTCAAAGTTATGAAGATCTTAATGAGTCTATTGATATGAGCAGATATGATATGACAAAAAATTAAAAGTCTTTAATTTCCAGGAAGAAATTTCTTTAATTTCCAGAAATTTCTTCCTGGAAATTAAAGACTATGCTTTAAAATCACTGTTATTTTTCCAATATGAAGATATGAAAGTAACATTTGCTATTTCTTAGAGGCAGTGTTTATTTACCAAATTGTTAGAATTCATACAGGTTTCATCTACCTCAACAAGCCAAAAAAAAAAAAAAATCCCTAGAAAGAGTTACTAAAAGCATATTAAAAACACTGTTCTATTTCTATTTTTCAAATGTGTAAGAACAACAGCATAGGTAGGCTGTAAGATGACCAGAATAACATGTGCATGTGAGGACAGAGTACACATTAGATTTTCTTAGTATATTTTTCACAACACAATTGCAATTCAGCTGGACTTACCTGGACTATAGGACCTTTATGATTACAACAATGGCTGTGACTAAGAGTGTCCCAGTGATGCAGCCAGTTGGCAACCTCTGACTGGCCTCATTTTTTATACTTCCTTGAAGGCATGTGTGTTTATAGCAAGCTTTCTACCAAGAGGAAAGAAAAATGTCTCCTGTGGCAAAATGAGAAATGCTCACTGAGCTCATTTCAACAGGTTGTTTCCACAGCCCTGAGCTCTGTTTATATAGAAAACAAAGGGGACTAGAAGAGAGTAAAAAGGTGAGACTAGTCATTCTGTGAGACTAAAATGAGATGCTGTGGTTAGGGAATACCTAGTGGCTAATTTTTTCTCAAAATCACAATGTCTGGCATACTATGGCAGCATATCAAGTTCTCCTTATAGTGACAATGATGTTTTACTAAGAAAAAAATGCTTTGAAAATTAAAGTCTGTTCATGAAATATTTCTGCCTTACCTAGCATTTACAGGATAGTTAGCTAATATTAGATTTTTTTTTTTTTTACTTTCCAGTCTTCCTTGTAATACAGAAACTTTGAGACTAGGAGGGAAGATAAATAATTATAATATGGCAAATTTTACACCCTCCAGTACACATAAACAATGAGTAGGGCATCTTGGTTCGCCTGAGGACTTAGGGGATTTATAATGATACTATCCGGAAGTCCCAGAAATTAGTTGGTTAACCAACAAGTCACACACACGTTCCTGCTGTACCATGATCCAAATACTATCTTTTTTTTTTTTTTCAAAAGATTTATTTATTTATACAAGCACTGGGTGCAGTCAGAAGCGCGGGAGGGTGAGAGAATTCACCAGAGCCAGAGCGGGGAGCAGAGCAGGCAGAAGGACCGAAGTACACTGCTGAGGGGAGCAGCGGGCAGCAGGAGAGGTCTGCACGCCATGTGGGACCCTCCTCCAGTGGCCGGGGAGCAGCCGGGGATCGAACCAGCGCTGCTGCAGGCAGCTTCGCAACCCAGCGCTCAACCGCTGCGCCATGGGGGAGGCCCCCAAATGCTATCTTTGTTTTTTCAACTTATCCAGTGCTGTGTTGTGCAAATCCCTCAAATCTACCTTAAACCTCTAAGAGGACAACTTCACAGAACGCAAACAAAGTCATGGAATCAACCCTGAATCAGATGTGTCACAAGCATAAATTCAATTTCCTTCTGTTTCACTTAGTTAGAAACTCAAGAGGAAAAATGAAAGTCTGTATGGAATAAAGTTCCATTTTTACATAATCCCTCCAAAGTCACCCCATTTGAAGAGTGAAATATGGGTTTTTATTTCTCTGACCTAGGATGTTTCATTATCACAAACCTTACTCAAAGTTATTATCACAATTTTGCTCACTTCAAACATGGAGGAATCAAAGCCTGGTACCACTGTAGATAGATCTAAAAGTATGGAGTCACTTGACTCAACTTTATTTAGCATATTAATTAACATTAAAGTAATTTAAAGTGGGCCTCCGTGGTGGCGCAGGCGGTTGAGCACCACACTGCCAAGCTCTCCACAGCCTTGGCAGCACAGGTTCGATCCCGGCCGCTAGGGAGAATCCCACATGGCGAAGCAGACCTTTCCTGTCTTGCCCGCTGCTCCCCTAAGCAGTGTATTTCCTCAGTCTGCCTGTTCTGTTCTCTGCTCTGTCTCACCCTCCCTCACATGTGGCCTATACTCCAGTTCTTGCATAAATAAATAAATCTTTAAAAAATAAATAATTTAAAGTAACCTAAGCATTCCTTCTAAGTTCAAAATGAAATTAAATATGTATACTAGTTATCCAAGACACATAATATATACATTTATTATGTTTACACACATAAGCACATATCTGGATATATACACATGTATATAAACGTATGTGTGCACACACATGCGTTTACATATGCACCTACGTATAGATATGTGTGTGCACGCATCTATTTCTCTCTATACCCCTGATGCACATTGGAGGATACAAAGACCTAAACATTTACTTTTGTTGTGCTCAATAATTGTACCACTTCCCTCAGCTGGAGTCTGGAACTTGTAATCCCCAATAGCAACTCTTGTTAACACCTTTCTTTTTTTCGGGGTCTCAAGAAAGACAGTCTAGTTCCTACCTTCCCTTGTTTTTTGAAATTGGCAAAAGCAATCACAGAGAGTTATCAGAAGTGATGGGTTTGTTTCTTTTAGGACTAAGGCAAATCAGAGAGCAAGGGAGAAAATGTGCCTCTGGCTTCAAGTTTCACCTTATGGATTATTGTAGTGCTTCCGATTTCCTGTAATCAGAGGATGCCCTTTTGGGGAGCACTATGATGTGTTCTGGTCATATCTTAAAACCTGTATGATTTAGTTACAACTCACCAAAGGATCTATTTCGCTACTGCTTCATTAATTCCACCTTACCTATTGCTACTGAGAGCTTGGACTTCTGTTCACATAAAGGATTAAAGAAATAATTTTCATGCCTCCAGATAGCATGAAAGTAATCAGAATACAAAATGCAATTTTGCTTTACAAGATTTATTTTAAGGGAACTAACTCGCAGAGAATAATACAACCATTGCCATTTCCTCTATTTGAAACACTCAAATAAGTAATAACAATAATGAGAGTAATAAAAACCACTTATAATAAGAACAGTCATGATGTTCTGACTATGATCCGGATACTTGTCTGAGTTCTTTAAATTTTCAGGTGCTCACACAGGTAATCCTTGCAAGTCTGAAGGATTTTATGGAAGACAACACTAAGTACAGAGGGGCTGAGCAAGATGCCCAAGGTCACACCACTACTAAATGTCAGGACTAGGGTTTGAAATAAGGCAATCTGGTTGATCAGAGCTCATATTCTTGGCCACTATTTTACATTGTTTTTTTTGCAAGTTATAGTCATTATTCTTCCTAAACATAATAGGAGCAGTAAGATAATAACAAATGCTAAGACAAGGGCATTTTCCACTAACTATTTAGAAACTGTATTTTTAATATATTATCATTAGATATTTTCAAAAATTCTGTGATTGACACAAGCCCTTATTTTATCATTAGATCAAAGAAATGATTAAATTTTATCCAGGGCATTCACAATTTATTTAAATTCATATAGAGTGTGTTAGATGAAAGGCAGGCACTGAACAGCTAGACATTCCACTCACAACTAAAGACCAGAGATAAGCCAACGGCAGGTTGCCAGTTCCTACTTCCTCTCCAACTTTAATTAACATGAATACTGTTTCTCATTTATTTCCACAGACAAAATTTTTAAATTTAACTAAAATTTTATTCAAAATACTAACCCACACAC